TGGCCCATTGATAGACAATTGCATTTGTCTCTAGAACAGTGTTTCTCAACCTTGGCAACTTGAAGATGTCCGGACTTCAATTCCCAGAATTCCCCAGCCAGCGAATGCTGGCTGGGGAATTCTGGGAGTTGAAGTCCGGACATCTTCAAGTTGCCAAAGTTGAGAAACACTGGTCTAATGCAATGGATGATCCAAATCCTTGGGTTCTGCGCTGCTTCCTTTCATTAAATTCCATTTTAAAAAAACTTGCTATTCCAGTTCAAAAAGATCTGGGAAACGATACATGACCTCTCCCCTCGAAGCCTCCATTTTAGGCTCTTCCCCATTTCTCTGGATTAATACATCCAAGCCAGACTGTGTGAGCCATTCCACTGGCTGCTTTCTTTCAACTGCCTCTTTCTCTGCCAGGAAAGTCAAGCTCTTCAGAGTGACAAAACATTCTCAGACTGCCACCTTACTGTTTGATGGAACAGCTGCTAATTTTAGCTTGGAAAGCATCCGCGTGGGGAAAGGAGGAGAGAGGAAAAATGCCAGGGACCGTTAGCCAAGAGAGGTATCCGCCTCCACACTCCTTATTTAAAGGCAAAACTAACTCCAGATTTCAATCAGGAGAGTGGCGGGGGGGAGTCAAATAAAAACTTTAGGACCAGGAGACAGAGCAGGTGATAGATAGATAAATAGATAGATAGGTAGGTAGGTAGGTACATACATACGTACATACATATCAACTTCAAAAGTAGGTGGAGAGGGTGACAGTTGGTGTATTATTAAAATAGGACGTCTGTATTAAAATTCCAAGAAGTTTTATTATTATTATTATTTGGGGGGAGAGGAATAGATATTCATAGGAAGTTGCAAAAGTGGATATGCACAAAATAAAATAAAATGGGGAAGAAATGAAAATGGATTCAGCCCTGCTCTCTGCCATGAAACTCAATGGTGATGGATTTAGTGGGACATAAGCAATGGAAGCCTACATAAAACAATAAATCCCCTGACCAGCCATTTAGCCACAAATTGGGCTGAGTAACATAGGAAAGGCCATTCCTTCTTGGGCTAGTTGTAGCAAGGGTGCAGAAGCAGAGCCCGGATTCCACCCTAATACACCCTTGAAAAAAAAAGAAAAAATCAGAAGCAGAATGCATAGCACAAAAATAATATCAAAATATGGGTAAGCAATTTTCTGATCAAAACATTAGGCGAAACCAACCACAAACTTAGCTAGCATGAGAAAATGATGCCAACTGACAAGAGGAATACACGAAGCATAATATATGTACCGCCGGGACCATACACTTTTTTTAAAATGGTATTTATCATCGTCATTGTGTTTTTGCACCAGACTTCCTATGCATAGGACTGCTAATCCTTTCAATAAAAATATACGTATACATATATTAGAGACATCTAAGTAATTTATAGGGACGTGGTGGCTCAGTAGCTAAGATACTGAGCCTGTCAAGCAAAAAGGTGGGAAGTTCGGTGGTTCGAATCCCTAGCGCCATGTAATGGAGTGAGCTCCCATTACTTCTCCCAGCTTCTACCATCCTAGCCGTTTGGAACCATGTAAAATTGCAAGTAGAAAAATAGGAACCACCTTTGGTGGGAAGGTAACTAGCACATATGTACGAGGGGAACATTTACCTTTACCTAAGTAATTTACCCACATAAACCTAGCAAATGTTTTCTCTTTGTCTACTGAAAAATCTTCAAGTCCTTGGGTATCTTACAAAGAACATGCCACTAAGTAACCATGTCTTGTCTTGCTCTCTATTTCAAATCCTGTCCTTGGCAAGAGACCAATCCCTGATGAGAATCCAAGACTCCCTTCGCAAGAAAAAGGAAGAAAGGGGAAAAAGACTACCCAGGATCTGACCCTGATCACCTTGAAGGAGGGATACGAACGGAGGAGGTGCAGCTCAGCCGAAGAAGACACAAGCCATGCCCTACCTTCAGTAGCACCACTTCCACAGCTCTCTCTTCTTTGGAAATCTCGCACAGGCTGTATCGTCTCTTGTGCCGCTCGTACATTTTGTCCAAGAAAAGAAGCAGCAGAAGGGAGCCAAGTCAACCATTCACTCCTAGAGAGGATCAAGCAGTCCAGAAGCCTCTCCCGGATGCCTTGGCCGAGGGTCCTCCTTGTGCTTTGGAGAGATCCCTTCTCTGAATTGCAGAGTTCAGCCAGGAAGAAAACACAGCCCAGCAGCACTCCAGCTGGTTGATTACAAAAAAAAAAAAACCTTCTTGGAACAGGGTGGCTTGTATGGAAAGTTAGACCAGCAAGCAGGATGGAGGCGCAGGAGGAGACGGTTAGCCGTGCAAAAAGTTATTTATTTTTTTAAAAAAACAGAACAGCAAGTCTTCCTTGAAACTTCTCACTGAACGTTCTTGAGTCTCTCTCTATTTAAAAAAAGAGAGAGAGAGAGAAGAAGAGACTTTGCATCCAGAAAAGGGAGAAGATGGGGGAGAAACAGCCAAGGCTGGATGTCTTCAACAGACTCACCAAAAAGAAGAAGGGAAAGAAGGCAAGGCAACCCAACTCAGAAGAAAATGCCGCTGCTGAGAGATGATACGCAGGGAAGCCCGTCCAGTAAAAAGGAAACCAAAAATAATAGTGCTTTTTAAAAAAAATTATAACAATAAAGGAATGCCCCCAAATTGGTTTTCTAAGCTACTTCTCGAAGAGGGTCGTCTTTTCAGCCAGCCTCAAAAGTTTGGTCTGGAATCAGTTTTGAAGAATGATGACAGCAACAGGCAGGGGGAGGTAGGGGAGACACCTCCCTCCTCCCTCTTGAGCCCAAGATCAGACGTCACGGTTTTGCTCACTGCCCCACAGAATTCTGTGAGAGCAGAAAACTTAATTGCAATTGTGGGAATATGATTCATCTCTTTGGAGAGAGGTGGGAGGAGGCAGGCAGGGCAGCCTTCCCCTCCTATGGCCCCGATTCATTTTCTCTTCCAAATGGGGAAGGGGGGGGGGACTGCAGTTCCCCAAAGGGGATGAATGGCTGACTCTTGCACTGATCTTGGGAAGGACCACTTTTGAATATTGTAAAGGGCAAGAAATTGGGCCCAGAGCTGCCTGAAATCCAACACAGTCGGCTGGCTCAGAGCTTCTCAAAACACAGACAGGAACGGGTGGAGGGGAAGGAATATTGAGGACTCCGTTCTGCTTTGAGCAGAGAAAAAGAAACAAAATGCGCGATTGACTTGTGCAAAGGAGGGGAAAAAATGATCCCCCCTTTTTTGTTCTTAGCCAAAGGGTTTTTTTTTTAAAAAAAAAGTGTACTCCTCCCCTTCCCATCTTTACCTTCGCTTTGGCCAAAGCTCTCACTGCCTCTGCTTCTCAATGGCTTATTCACAGCGACCGAGGCTGGAGAACACACTGCCACTCAGTTTCCTGTTTTCAAGATCATTGGAGTCTTTTTCAGCCTCCATTTCAGCCCAGGCTGGTCTCTCAAGAGATGAAATCTTGCTGCAGTTCCCCTTCCCCACCCCCTATTCTGCTTTAATCTTGATTCTTGGTTATAGAAGAAAGGAAGAAAGGAAAGAAGGAAGGAGAGAGGAGAAAAGAGGGAAAAAAGAAAGAAAAAAGAAAGAGAAGAAAGAGAGAAGAGAGAGAGAAGAGAAAGAGAAGAGAGAAAGAAAGAGAGAAGAGGAAAGAAAGAAAAGAAAGAGAAGAAAGAGAGAGAAGAAAGATAAAGAAAAGAAAGAGAAAGAGAGAAAGAGAGAAGAGAAAGAGAGAAGAAAGAAAGGAGAGAAGAGAAAAGAAAGAAATATAAGAAAGAGAGAGAGGTATGGATGGATGGATGGATGGATGGATGGATGGATGGATGGATGCAGAAAAAGTGAGCTTCGAGGGGTGCCATGATAAAATGGGGTAATAGGATCCCTTTCGACCCTGTTAAGTTCTAGAACAGCAACTATACAGAGCAGGAAGCAAAGCATCAAGGATTCACTCTTTCTTCTCCTCAAAGGTAAAGATAGAACAAGTGGGGTAACTCACGGACAGCAATTTTGGGGAGCTCAACCTGCTTCCATTCCTCCGTGAAAAGTGGGCATTTCTGGACCTAAACTACAAACTATGCATTTCCTCAAACAATGCATAAATCAGTAATTTAGAAGACTGTATCAAGTCTCTTTAGATCACTGCCAGGAATTCATTCCTAGTTCCCACATGACTGTTGCAATACACCCATGGTCACATTATCAAAGTTACGATGGTTGCAATGTCACACAATCCCCTTTTGGGACCTTCTGACAAGCAAAGTCAATGAAGAAGCCAGATTCACTTAACAACTGTGTTACTGACTTAAAAACTGCAGTGATTCACTTAGCCATGGTGGCCAGGAGGTCGTAAAATGGGGCAGAACTCACTTAACAAGTATCTCACTTAGCAACAGGAATGTTGGAGTTGATTGTGGCCGTATATTGATAGCATTAAGAGACAGCAGGGTGCCAAGGAAAATGTGATTGGCAGGTGCCTTTCCATCCTACCTGTGTGCATCTGATCGGCCATTTGGGAAAGACCAAAGCCGGACGCGATAATTCTTTGGCCTCTTCCATCCCCTGAGCATTTCTGGTATTATTATAGCAATAGCAATAGCAGTTAGACTTATATACCGCTTCATAGGGCTTTCAGCCCTCTCTAAGCGGTTTACAGAGTCAGCATATTGCCCNGTATTTGTATGTTTTACTCTTTAAAAAATGTATAACTAATAAAGATTACTTAAAAGGGGGGGGGTGCATTCCTGCCACCATTACTACCGGTTCGGAGCCCGAAGAATTTAATTAATTAATTATCTGGGAGAATCCTGATTGTGCTCTCCAAGAAGTCTAACCAGAAGCTCCTTCAACCCAACCCAGATGTTTGCATTCCTCAAACACAACCCTCTTGATTTTTGACACCCTGCGTTGGACAGTACTTGGTAGCAGAGGCTACTGCAGTCTGACAAAATGATCTGCGTTGGGCAGCTCCCCAAATATAAGATTTGGGAACAGCACAGCCCTCCTCTTATTTCCAAATGGCAAAGAAAAACGGTTTCTCTTACCTGCAGGGTTGCAAGGATGCTTCTGCTCCAACAATAAGGAATCTGGAGAAGGCTCAACAGGGCACCAGTTGTCACGGTTAATCTAAGGCAAAGGGAGAGAGGTGACAAATTAATGGGAATCTTTCCACACAACCTGTGTATCTTCTTGTTCTGTTTCAGTTCTGCATTTATTGTTTTGAATGCTCTTGTGATAATTACTACATTATGGTTTTAGGCCATGTTGTATTTATTTTACTGTTTTATTGGATTGTTTCCCGTGAGGTGGGTGGTCATAAAAATTTGATTAATGAAATAAATTAACAAACTCTTTATCTCGACTTGGTCACACTTCACAGACTTCCAACGAATCAAGAAAATAGAATTTTTTTTAACACGGCATATTAATCTTTAATATTAAGTGATGAGGAACCTCAGGACAAACACTAATATTTGCTTCATTTCCTTTATGCTGAATTAAAAGCAGAATCAATATGATTCCCATTCTGTTACACATTTCATTCAGACATATTATGTAGAAGCTTAACTCTTTGGAGAAGAGGGAGGGAGGGAGGGCAGTGACGGGGTAGGGAGGGAGGGATGGAGGGGAGGAAGGAAGGAAGGAAGGAAGGAAGGAAGGAAGGAAGGAAGGAAGGAAGGAAGGAAGGAAGGAAGGAAGGAAGGAAGGAAGGAAGGAAGGAAGGAAGGAAGGAAGGAAGGAGAGAAGGGGGAGTGGGGTAGGGAAAGAGGAAAGAAGGGAGGGAGGGAGGGAAATGACAGGGGAAGGAGGGAGGGAGGAACAGATGGAAGAACAGGAATGGAGGAAGGGAGGGAGAACAGAAGGATGCAATTAGACAACCCATAGACAGGTGGATGGACTGAGTTACATCAATGAGCCACGATGGTGTGGTGGTTAGAGTGCAGTACTGCAAGCTACTTCTGCTGCCTGCCAGCTACCTGCAATTTGGCAGTTCGAATCCCACCAGACTCAAGGTTGACTCAGCCTTCCATCCATCCGCGGTGGGTAAAATGAGGACCCAAAATGTTGGGGGGCAAGAGGCTGACTCTGTAAACCGCTTAGAGAGGGCTATAAAGCGGTATATAAGTGCTATTGCTACACTGATAATGCATACATTACCTGACTGACCAGGTTAGGGACATACAGTATCACCCTGGAGAATATGTGGTCACCAAGAGTCAACAATGACTTGACAGTACAGAATCAAATCATGTATATGATCCCTTCTCTCTCCGCCCCCCTCCTCCCTCCCCCGTCCCTCCATGTCACACTGCAAATCATCGCACCAACCTCTGGAGAAGGCAGAGCCTTTCAAAGGCCCAAAGCAGCTCCACCTGACTCATACCTGCTTGGACCGCAGAACTCCAGAGTCTTTACTATCACCTGCTATGAAAGAGAACCCTACCTCCAGCTACTGTTTTAGTGCTCTGCTCCAGCCTCAGTCCATACCTCCCTGCCAAGAATCAAGTCCTTTGTGGGATTCAAACTTCTGAACACAGTTATAGCAAGTAATTTCACCAAAACGGACCGGGGAGGAGGGGGAAGGGAAACAGATTATTTTTAACGTTCGTTTCCTTTTTAAACCCTGGGGTTTCACATTTCCTTTAATCATGTTTTAATTTAGCTTCCAGCGTGCAAAGGACATGCTTTTTTTTCCTGTTTGTCAAAAGCTGCATCTGCATTGCACTATGGCCCCCAATTCCAAGTTTTGATTTCCAGCACAACAGGCTACATAAAACTTAAGGGCACCTCTATTAATTGCCAATGACTAACAACGTGAAGCGGTGGTGTCTCAGTGGCTAAGATGTTGAGCGTGTGGATCAGAAGGTCGGCAGTTTGGCGGTTCGAATCCCTAGCATTGCATAATGGAATGGGCTCCGGTTACTTGTCCCAGCTTCTGCCAACCTAGCAGTTCGAAACTGGCTCAAGAGTGCTGGCTCTTTGACTTTGAAACGGAGATGGGCACCACTCCCTAAAGTCGGGAATGACTAGCACATATGTGTGAGGGGAACCTTTACCTTTAACTTAACAACGTGACAGTTAATATATATGACTTACAATCGTATCTGTGCAGTTCCCACCATTCAAAGGGACAGAATTGAAAGAACTGAGGGAAT